GGTGTTGTTATCATCATTCTGAAAGATGTAAAGTCTTAGTTGATTTAGTGGAAGTTGAAATGGAAACTACAATGATGCATTTGGAGGTTGGATCTGGCTTCATCACTGCCTCGAATTGGTGTCCACTTTCAAATGAGAAGAGATTGGAGATTGAAGATGATGTCATTGTATGGATCCTGGGTCTTCCTTTTCATTTGTGGAAGGAAGAAGTTTTTATTTCAATTGCTTCATTTTGCACTGTGGGATTGGAGGGTGTGTTTGCATTTGATCTTCACTCTATTGCCATTTGCTTGAGTGGGTTTAAACTAGAGGAGATTTGAAAGGAAGTTGAGATGTTCCTTGATCAGAGGTGCTACTTTGCCTGGTTGACAACATCTGTGGAAGGATGCTCGTCGGGAGGAAGATGAAGGGACCGAAGAGGAAAGCCTACGTGGTAGGAAATGACTTGATGGCTTAAGCAAGAAGAGGAGTTTCAAAAGTTTGGGAGAAAGATTTCAGAGTAGAGGAAAAAGATGGGAGTTTAGTGGAGAAGCTTTGGAACCAGGAAAAGAAGGAAAGTCAACACATGATTGTTTAGTTTCCTAGGTGGTTACTTGTGGTAGTAATGGGGTTGTGAAATGTTCAGAGAGAATAATTAAAAAAATGCTTAGAGAGAACAAGAAAGGAAATGCTTTGGGGTTTGGTTCTCAAGGGGGATTGAGATGGAGATTGAGCATTTCCGTTGAAGATGAGGGCTTGAGTCGAATACCACATGTTGATTTAGTGGGGCAGGATGTTACAACTTACATGTGACTTGTTAATTGACCACATGGGGGCTCGATTGGATGGTCGGTTGGAGTTTGTTTTTGGGCCGGATGGTCCCACTAAAGAAGGAATTATAAATCAGTTGGAGGTTTTTCATGGGTCGGTTCGGTTGATTGGCCCACCGAAGATGGAATCATGAACCGAATTGATAGCAAAGCGGGAGGGGATGGGTCGAGTTTCTATGGGCCAATGAGCCTTGAGGCACATGATCCTTTTTTATTGCACATGAGGTCAAAAGGTGATGGTCTGTCAATAGGCTAGAGTTTGGGTCTATCTTTGTCTTCGTGTAGGCAGAAAGAGAGCTTAGTTGGCTTGTTGATAAGGAAGAAGGTATTAGAATCTTGATCATGTGATGCATAGGGTTTTGTGTGGAGAACACCATTTTTTTTTATAAAAATAAGGGGTTGCGTCCAAGGGAGAGGCATGAACATTTTGGAGAAATGGAAAATTTGAAAGTTTTAGAGAAAGGATTGAAGGACGTTAATGCTTCAACCGATGATGGGGGTGATGGTCAAGTTCTTACTATAGAGAGTGCTCTATGACAAGAAGTTGGTGAGAGTGGAATGGATATTGAGTTGATCCATAAAGGTAGAGGGGATGACGAGATGGTTTGGCGGGATGGAGGGAGAAAGGAAAAATTCATAGTAGAATAGGAGAATGCTAGAGCAGTGACTGCAGTAGAGAGTAAGCCAAAAGGGATGTTTGGAGGGAGGGAGGGAGTATTTAGGATGTTGGGAAGAAAGGCGAGGTTGATGTTGGGGGGTTGGAAGACACTAGACTAGGGGAGAGGAACACGCCAAAAGGGATGAGGAAGCCAAGATAGAGGTCGAAGGCAGTAGAAAGTGGGATGCAGAAAGAGTGTACGAACTGAAAAAATATATAACTTTCCCCCTTGAGAATGATGTTGACAAGAAAGTAGAGGTGAGCCAAATCTTGGGATGTTTTTCTTATGAGGGGAAGAATTTGCAAGGGAAGCATTCAGGTCAGTGGAGGAAAGGAATGATGAGAAGGAGAGAACAAAATTCTCAATGGATACTGGTTTTCTGATGTTTCATTGGAGCAAGAGGAGACAACATCAGAGGGGAATGGTGAGAAGTCTGTGAAGGGGGGGGGGGGGTGTAAGAGAGGGTTCTGGATTCAGATAGGTGTAAGGTCGCTTCTGAAAGGTTGAAGGAAGATAAGGAAGTTTCGTGTGCAGTAAGGCATTTCAAAAATCAAAAGAGTCAGCAACAGATTCCAGTTTCAAAGGTGTTCTCCAGGTTTTAAAGGGGATTGTTTGGGTGAGGTCTAAGAAGATAATGAAGAAAACTAAAAGGCCAACTAAAAGAAGAAAAGGAGAAATCTTGCAAGGAGCTAAAGTCTCAAGTTAATTGAAGAAGTTTTAATCTGCAAGGGAATAATTGGGGTCTATGTTGGTTGAGGATCATTTTGTTTTGGGGCTTTTATTGTGTAATGTTTTTTGTTTTTATGCTTTCCTTATTGGACGAATTGTAGGGGTTTGGTTGTTGGGCTTGTTATAGTGTTGTTGGGTGGTTGTGGTTGGTTTTGTTTGGGGGCTTTGGAGGTTTGTTGTTTCTCTTGGGTGATTGCTTATCACCTTTTCTATGTATTCTCTTTTTTCTTTTAATATAATTTTTTATTTATCTTTAAAAAATGTTTAGAGATGGAAAATGTTGAGAATAATGTTGGTGGTGCTATTGGTTCTATTGAATTAGCAGATATGGTAGTAGAGGAATAAAGAGGATATGGAGGGTTAGTGAGAGAAGTGATTATTGGTAAACTAGGAAAGGATCTTGACAGATAGTGGAAAAAGTTTCAAAGAGATGAAGAGAGTGGAGCTGCATAGCCTGCATTGAATCTAAGGGTTTCAATGGACCAGTTTTGGACTGGACCGCGTCCAGTCCAAAATCAATTTGGCCGGACCAACAAGACATATTGGATTGGACCAATTCAGTCCAAAATATTTTTTTAGATTGAATTGGGCCTGGTCCATTCATAATAAATTTATATTGGATTGGGTTGGACTAAGCCAATATCTGGTCTATTGATATAAGATAAGAATATAGGTGTCAATGGACCGGGTTTGGGTTGAAACCAATCTAAATTAAAACGGATTTGAACAGATTGGACGGTCCAGACATTGAATTGGACTGGTCCAAAATGGTCCAAAATATTCATTGGATTGGAATGGATCTGGTCCATTTGTAATGGACTCACATTGGACTTGATCGGATTGGACCAAATCCAGTCCAATTGACACCTCTAATTGAATCCAAAGAAACTTAAAGGACCAAGTAATAGCCATCTTGTTTATGTTACCAAAGTTCTTTCATGGTTGAAGGTTTTATTGGTGCAGGGCCTTGTAACAAGTCCATAAGATGGAGGGTGAAAATTAAATTGAATAATTTAAAGAATTATGGAAAATAGGCTGTTGGAGATCAGGAGATTTTTGCAAGGATTAAGGAGGAAATGGAGAGTTTACAGGATAATCAGAGGGGCAAATAAAACCTAGTGCTAAATATACAGAAGAACAAGGGGAAGAGTTAGATGCTGTTATGGACCAAGTATGATAGGTTGGGGCGGGGGTGAAGAGTTGAGGTTGAATGTGGAAGTACAAGTTAGTAAACTGATGGGATTATTTTGGGTGGGGAGTAGTTCTCAAGAAAAGCATTCTGGAAGCTAGAGAAGAGGAATAATGAAGGATTCAAAGGAAATGGTTGAAGGATTAGAGAATGAGGAGTTTGAGATGTGATTGAATGAAGGAATTAGTAAGGTATAATAATTTGAAAAGGTGGGGTTGGGTCAAAGGGTTAATTGGCATTTTTTTTTTTTCTGGATGTGTTTGTTTAGAAATTGTGTAAGGGTTTGGGTAATGGGCATCTCTGTTGTTTTCTAGTTGAAGGGTTTGTTGTCCTTGTGGTGTTAAGGGGTTCTCTAAGTTAGCTTATACCTTATCCCCTGTCCTCTTGTATTTTTAATAAATATTTTTATTTTATTATCATACAAAATCATCTGCGTTTCATGAACAAAGCTTTATATGGCTGTTCTCTCTACATTAATTTAAGCTTTTGTTAAATTTTATAAATTAATATTGTGTAGAGAGCCATAATCAACCAAGTTTTGTAAACAAGGCTGTAGATGGCTTTCTCCCCTACATAAAGTTGAGATTTTGTTAAAATTTTTAAGTTGATATTGTGTAGGGAACCATAATCAATCTGGTTTTGTGAACAAGGCTGTAGATAGATTTTTCCCCTACGTGAAATTAAATCTCTTTATGTAGAGACACAAAATAGTAATAGAGGTAGAAGAAATTAGAAATAGAACTTTGTTTTTCCTCGTAGACGAGGGTATGCAGATTAGCAGTGAAGATATGAAAGATTATCTTACCCCTATCTCAATGAATCTGGACTGAGATTTCTCCTCCTTTATTTGTTCTCCATGCCTCTATTTTTCTTTCTCTTTTAGTTTTTGCTCATAGCTTGCTGGAAAGTTACTTAACAGTTTAGCATTAACAAGATGGGCTTTAATAGAAACAAAGGTGGTTAGATAACTATCCTACCCTGCTTCTCTCAGAGTGCCGTGTGTGTCCACTTAAAGAGGGGCTTAAGGGGAGAAATAATGCTTCTTTTTATGAGAAGATATGTGATGTCCCAATTAGAGTAATGGGACACTTCATAAATAAGAAGAGGCCGGGCCACTTATATAGGTTTTCCTAGTTGACTGACAAAGCAGACCCCTTATAAACATGGTCCAAGCCCTTAAATTAGTTTAGGGTTTGTTGCCCATTTAATTGTCTACTGCAGACCCAATTATCCTCTTCATTAAATTATTTTAAATTGCTCATTCTTTATAAGCTATGATTGGGAGTAGCTCAACAACCTTATCCCAGTCAAGCTAAACTAGATTCACAATGCTTCGAGGCTTCAACAGCGATGACTTGTTTTCATCCTAATCCTTCATTTTCTCCCTTTGTTTCCTCTAAATCTTTCTTTTGATATTAAGACAATTATTTTTTTTACTAATAAAAAGTTTATTTGATCAATTGAAACAACCTACAGATTAGATGCAAAATTTGTCATACTGTTCAGGAAAATGCTTAGCCTTTATATATGAACTCGTTCCATTGGTATCGGCTTTTTTGTTCAATTTCTAATCATAATTTAGTTATCCTAACTGAAATGCAATATTCTCTGCAGATTTGCAGTTTATCAACTATTCTTCGTGAATATGCGGCTCTGCGGTCTGTTGGCTCCCTTCCATTCAAGGATTTAATATTGTCGGCTGCTGAAAGGGATGCATATCCTGAAGATCGGGCCTGGAAAATTCCTAGAGCACTTATGGAGTTTCTTGAAAGTAATCATAATACATCGCAACTTGAAGCCATACGTGTGAGTCTCCAAAATCCTTACAACATATTCTTAATTCTTGGTTGAGAATAGGTATCACCTATCTGCTGACTAAGTCAATCTGCAAGGGCATATTTTACTAGCCTTATTTAGGATGTTATTTCTTTATTTGTTGAAACAACCTTATAGAATGGTCTTTTCATTTGTTTCTGTTTTTCTTTAAAATTAGTATTCCATCAAATATTTTCTAAATTATCTTCAAAATGCAGGCAGGCCTGTCACGTAAAACCTTTGTCTTGATACAGGTTCGACTTGTCTTCTATCAGTTTCTTTTTTGTGTATTTCAATTTAAATCATGCATATCCCACTTTCTGGTTGTATTTATTGGTTCTAAAATTGCTTTTGCATGTTTAATTGTTAATAAAACATTTGGGAGTTTGCTTAAAAAAAGAATATTTGAGATTCTTTGTAAGTGAACAATTTCCTTAGAACTGGATTGATCTAGAGATGCTTTAACAAGTGCATATTCAATACATGCTACTAGAACTATTAGACTTTCTGGGTGCAGTATAATATGTGGGTATTATCTTTAGGTTAGTTTTTTGATTTGTACAATAAATCAAATGCAGATTGCAGAAACATTTTTTATTGGTTGTGCAGAAAATGAGGAAAATAAATGTACTGATAAAAAATAAGGAAAATAAATGGAAGTGAAATAATAACCTAGTTTTTACAGTTTTGTTGTGTAGAGACCCCCCCATCACGCACATGTAAAAAGAAAAAAAAAACATAAATAGAAGAATAATCAGTTCCTTGATTTTCTCTTCTTTTCCTAGATTATTTTCCAGTTAAAAGTTTAAGGAAGAAAATGAAAAGGAAGTATGGGGGAAAAAAAATCTTGAATCTTTTCTCCTTCTACAAGTCACCTTCCACAATAGGGGTGAAACTTGGGCAGTTTGGGTCAGGTTTAAGGTCAACCAAGGCCCCACCCTAAGGCTTGGTCTAAGTCACGACCCCAGATCTAGCTGAAGGATAAGCCTGTTCTTCCAACCCAAGCCCAACCCAAACTAAAAATTGACAGAGTTGGGTTGGGCTCAGGCTTGGGCTGGGCTAGAGTTATCAGTTGGGCTTGAGCCTTAGGCAGACCTAATGGGTCCAATGTATGTATTAATTATTATGTATTATGTAGTTGGGCCAGGTCTGGGCTGGGCTAGGATCAGGCTAGGCTGGCCTAGCCTGAAAGATGAAAAAATCTGGGGTTTTGGGCCCAAGTCCATGGACTGAAAATCTAATCCCACTCCGTCTTAAATTTTAGGTTGGGTCAGATAGGGCTTGGGTTGGGCCAACCCATGTTGCACCCCTATTCCACAAATCATGACCAAATCACCTTATCTCTGCACAGTCCAAAGCGTCCTCTTTCAACTGTGCTAGACATTCATCTACAGGATAACATTCTGAACATCTCTTGTTCAAGGACTCTGCCGAGTGCAGATCTACAGGTGAACACTTTAAAATCTTTCCTAACTTGTGCATTTCATTCTTGTGTTAAAATTAGCTTTACTGGTATTAAGTTATAAGACATCCTACATTCATCTGTTTATTGAGGTTTTCCTCTTCTACAAGAAGATGCTTATGTTCTTGAGGTAGACAACTAGAGATACCCATGAGTGGAATGAAACAAAATCCTTTTGTTGACTTGCGCTTCCTATTAATTAACAGTTTGTAGGCCTGATCTTCTAAATGTTATTAAACTAGGACAAATGGTGAGAGCAGTTCATTGAATGGCATGCCTATATTTATGAGCTTTGACCTTTTTGGTTATACACTTTTAATTTCTAGGCTTCATAGAAAAATATGAATTATGCTGCTGTCAAGATTGAAGATGTTATGAGGCATCTGTAGTATTCTAAAAAAGGCATCTGTGTTATTCTAGTTAAAACCATTTTTTTAGCATTCTGGTTAAATCCATTACAAGGTCAGCATTATTTATTCTTGTTGTGGAGTATTTTTAACAAGCTTGACGTGTTTTAGCTTGTACCTTAACATTCCATTTTCTTATCAACATTGTAAAAACATTGTGATAACTCAACTCAACTCAACTCAACTCTTAAAATTAAGGTGGAGTACAATATTGCATGTTAAAAGAAAAAGAAAAAACCTCTGCACTACTTGTGTATGTTTATATACCAGAGGCTTTTTCCACTTTAAATATGCATATAACTAAAAGGAACTTCTTATGTTGGTGTCCGTAGCACCTGACCATTTGCTTCCTTCTAGGGTCCCCCAGGAACAGGGAAAACTCAAACCATCCTTGGGCTCCTTAGTGCTATTCTGCATGCAACACCAGAAAGAGTGCAATCCAAGTAAATCTTTTGCAAGTTTTGTTTCCACAATTATTTGATAATTAAATTACATTTTATTTTGAAAATTGTGTTATTCTTTGGTTTCATTCCTGTAAAAATAAAATAAGATAAAAGAAATTGGATGTGTCATCATTCATACTTCTATCAGTTTGAGACATTTGATATCTATTTCCTGTTTGATGCAGGGGAGCATTGCATGATGCTAAACGTCGGCCTCTACTTCCCATTGAGGAGAAGTATGTTTCAATTACTTAATATTAGACCTTTAGTTCTTTTGGTGTTCAGAGTTGGTTTAAGAGGATCAGTGTTTTCTTTAGGTTATCATTTTCTGAAGTATGGTGAAATTTCCTAGTCATTTTTCTAAGTAATATATTCTGAAGAAAAGGGTTTGTAGAAGGTAGATTACACTGCCTTTGCTTATAATCACTGTTGCTTGTTTCAAAGAAGTCTGTATGAGAACCTCAATAAGTTATACCATGCACATGGACACACATATATCGATATATGAGTATACTATAATTGCATGGAAAATCAATGTTAAGGATGGTAGTTGCTTATCTAGATTTTATGCTAATGTACATCTTTATGAGCAATTGACAGATTTCCTTGGTTGCAAGGTGGGCAAGGTGCCCACTACATACCTGGGTCTTCTGCTGGGGTGAAAAAATACTTAAAAAATCTTATGTGATCTTGTTGTGGAAATGTGGACAGAAAATTGGCCACGTAGAAATCCAAGTATCTACTCACAGGGGCAAAAACCACCTTGTTGAGTATATTATCTCAAGTGTCCACTTTTTTCATGTCTTCATTCCAAATGCAGGTTGAACCGTTGAAGTGGCAAAAAACTAGAGAAATTACAATGAAATTTTCTATGGAGAGGTAGGAGGAAGGAGAAGATGCACTTAGTTGATCAGGATGAGGTGTGCCAACCGATTGTAGCTGGGGGATTGTGAGTTGAAAAACTAAAATTGATGAATGCACAGCCCTAACTGGTAAATGGTTTTGGACGTTTAGCTCTCAACCTCAAGGATTTTAGAGGCAAATCATTGTAGAAAAGTTTGGTACCAGGAACTACAGTTGGGATCCAGGTTTCAGTAATGAGAGTTATGGTTGTTTATTTTGGCGGGGCCATAGAAAGTTTCATCTTAGCTTTCTGCAAGGTGTTAGATTAAAATAAGGGGTGGGAGATAGAGTATGCTTTTGGAGAGACACCTAGTGTGATGATGGAACCCTGATGGATAGGTTCCTGCCACTTCTTATCTTGGCAAATAATATGGATTCTTTGGTGTCAGATCTGTAGAGGCACATGGTGAAGCTGTCACATGGTGCCTAACATTTAGAAGAAATCTAAACAACTGGGAAATTGAGGACCTGGTATCCTTGGTCAGTGTGCTCAATGCCTCACTCCCACGGTTAGATCAGGAATATGAAAAGATATGGAGATGGGAAAGCTCCAGGAAATTTTCAGTGAGGTCATTCTTCAAGAACCTAAGCTTAGGTGGTAGATCGATTTCCTATACAAGGAAGTTTGGGTGCCTCGTATCCCCTCCAAAGTGGCTTGTCTGCTATGGGCTGCTATGTTTTTTTTTTTTTTTATGATAATTACTATGGGCTGCTATGTTAGACAAGTGCTTAACCAGGGACTGCCTGCAGAGTTGAGGTGTGGGCTGTTTGGCGCTCCAATCATTGAGTTTTGTGCTTTGTGGAGGGGAGAGGGAGACTACAGATCATCTTTTCTTTTCCTGTCCAATAGCCAGTGGGGTGTATAATTATTTTTGCAATCTTGTAAACCTGAGCCAGTGCATGCCAGAGCACTTGAAGTCCTGCAAGATTGGAAACCTAAATAGAAGGGGGAGAAAATTATGGTGTGTGGTCCCAGCTATTGTAACTTGATGTCTATGGAAGGAAAAATCTCAGAATATTTGAGGACAAAAAGCTCTTCATATGAGGAGCCAATTATAAGGTCAATGGGGACAATTATTTATTGGTTATCCGTTATCAGTTCAGGATATTATATATGCAAATTACAAAAATTCTCCATATCATGCATGCTTCAACCTAGAAATATTTTTTTCCTTGAGTTTTTTTGTATATTGGCTACCATAGTTTAGCCTTCTTTTGTATAGTGCCTAACTATACATGATTATGAATGATTTGCAATGTTTTATCCACCACTCAAAAAAAAAAAAAAAGAAAAGTAGGACACATGGTTCTTAATAGAGCACAATGACAGGACAAGATTTGTGTAGCAAGCCCAGAATAATTCAGACTAAAGCTGCATTGAGTGGATTTTTTGGTAAAACAAATAGAATAATTGGTAGTAAACACCAATCTAAGTAAGAAGGGCTTATTAGGCATCTCGTTGGAGGTTTACAGATACAGGCACTGGAACAATGCATCTCCATGGTTGACAGATATTAATCCTAGAGATAAAATCATGCCCATTGATGGCGACGATGGCTTTTTTCCAACCACTGGCAATGAGTTGGTAAGTATATTTGTTCTTTTATTTTTGGCATTGATGACTGTATATATTCACGATCCTTCTAAATTCACTTTTTTTTTGTGCAGAAACCTGAAGTAGTTAATTCACATCGCAAATATCGTGTTCGTGTGTTGGTTTGTGCTCCATCCAACTCTGCACTAGATGAAATTGTGTTGCGCCTTCTAAGCACTGGTAGGAGTTTCTTTATTGTGCACAACTTCACAATATCTTCATATTTCAGCTAATTACTAATTTAATTGGGTGGAGTGCAAACTTTGAGGTGATTTGATGATTTTCTGGATGATTTTTACCTTTTAAAGAAAACTTCATGTTTAAGATCATCTTTATCCTTTTTAATAATTTTCATGTTTTCTATTTATGAATTACCTTCAGCCTTTGCTTATCTTGGCTCAGTTTGAATTTTTTTTTTTAATAAATGGTGGAATTTCAGTAAAGTGAGGTACTGAAAAGGAAAAGATACTATACATCGGTTCTCTAGCATGACACAATTGAGTAAACTAAAATTTTCTTCACACCTCAAAAGCAGATTAAACAATTATGTGACCCCATCCTTCCTGAAATGGTCTTGCCGGAAGCCCATGGAGAGCTTGAGAATGCTCACCCAGTAAAATGCCTTCAACTCTATTCTACTAATAAGTATTTATTTTTTTTTTGGAAAAGGTAAAGTAATATTTATTGAGAAAGAAATACACACAAGAGGCCGAAATCAGTCCCAAAACAGGCTGACTGATCTATTCAGCAATTACACAAGCCATCAAGACAAAGAAAATAATACATCTGACACATTACAGTTTCTAAAATCTGCCACCACAGACAACCAAGAAATCAGCTTGCCCACTAACTTCTGGGTTAAGTCCTCCAGACATAGAAACTTGTTACTGAACACCCTTCTATTCCTCTCGGTCCAGATACACCAAATTACAGCACTTGGAATCATCTTCCATAAAGTCTTCTTTTCTTGCTCAAGCCCAAGATATGCCAGCAGCATAACAGCTCTTTTACCGACCTCGGCATCAAATTCCAACAGCTCTTTTGCTCAAGCCCAATAAGTATTTAAAAAAATCCTTATGTTACTTCCTTCCAATTCACCCCAATATACAACAAGTGGGATCAGATTCCAGAGTATTTTACACCTCCTACTAAGACCATTCATATGCCACACTTAAAGCACTCCAAGTGGATTCTGAGGCATGAACTGATGACATTTGAACAATTGTAGCAAATGGTTCCAAGTCACACTAGACAAGTGACTTTGCAATGAATTAGCAAGTAATTGACCACTACACTAAATCCCACACAAAGACTGCATCCATCAATGATTATTATATCCTTGTCAGGTAGATGGCCAATTCTTAATAATATACAGTCCAAACTCAAAGTGCCTGTCCATATAAAAAAATAAGACTTTAAATTGGGAATGAGCTTTTTCGTAGCTACCTCAGCATGGGAGAATCAGATCCTAAGCCTTCTAGTTTGTCATAAAGTGATATTACCATTACCAAGAACTATCCAAGCTATTTGCCCCACATAATCTAGCATCAGAAGTACCTGGTTAGAATATGGTATGGCTGAGTGTCTCCAATAAAGCTGCCAAAGAATGCAAATCATATAGATTGTGCAATAGGAAAAGATAACCATAAAGTGTTGCCACACTCACAATCATAACACTTCTTTGCATGGCATCTTTATTTGAAGCAAGGTTTGAATCTGGATGCTCTTCACTCAGAGGTCTGTCTCCACACGAAAAATTACTGGTTCACCTCCTCCTGGTTTAAAAGTCACGTACTTAGAGAGCTTATTTGTTATATACATTTTTCCCTTCTAGATACTGGAGTTGTAGGTGCTCTGGATGGGTTTTGTCTCCTAATGCATGGGATCCTGTCCATATTAGAGATGGTTCTTCTCCATAGACTACGTCTCTTCCAGAGCTTTATTCATCATCCCTAGAGATCTGATTCCTTCACCTTTAACTTTAGAGGTGCATACTTGTGATCATGCCACTTGATGAAATTTCCTTAAAATCATTGGGACAGTCCCACAAAAAATCATCTCTTTAGCTTCTCCAATCTTGTGGCTATCAAGGCTGGGATAAAGATTGTTGGTCTCTTTTGAGAAACTATAATAGTAGTTTTAATAAGGCAATTTGAATTAATACGAGTCCCTCCTCCCATCCCATCCAGCTAATTTCCTCCTGAATATTTCCATTATTAGATCCCATGTCTCCTTGGAACTTTAGTTCTTACCTGAAGGAAGGCCCAAATAAATTAGAGCATTCATTGGCAATAAGAAATCCATCCAAGATATGACACCCAGCAATAAGCATCCTCTAGAAAAGTGAGAATGTATTGGAGAACCTTTCTCAAGCAATTTGCTAGAATTTTGGAGATTAGCTTATAAATGTTCCCAATTAAGTTAAAAGAAAAAGACCATTACCGGATTACCCAATGTTTTTATTTTTTTGTTTGATCAAAGCCATTACCCAATGTTGGTCCCAGCTAACCTGTAATTGATATAAAAACAAAAGTTGGTCCTAGCTATCTTGAGTCTTGGGAGCAGTGGACTGGATATGAACCTAACCTTTAGTACTTTATTGCACAAAGTGGATGCTCTCAGACTTGAACCTGCATTGTCATGCTTGTCAGCCAAAGATACTACTAACCACTACACCAAGCAATCACCCCTAATGCTCCCAGTAACAACAGTGAAATTTGCTACTCTAGAGATTGGATTGGTGGAAAAAATATTTCATCATCCTAATGAAATCATGCTTATGGAAAGCTAAAGGGACCACCCATTTGGGTCTATAGTCTTATCACCATTTTTTATGGAAAAAGAAAAAAAAGAGTTTATTAAAACTCAAAATGTAACTGAGTTCATCATCATAAAGGTGTGAAGACAACACCTTAAAACCTGACTAAACAAAGATACAAAAATTAGCAGACTGACCCCCTGTAAACTGACTAATCCGATATACAAACATTAGCAGAATTTTGCAACTCTAACAGGTCCCAAAACTTTTCCCCCAAATTCTTATCTATCAATCTGAGTAAAGCCTGGTAAAATCAGCACTGAATCACCAACTAATTTTCCAATATTTGTCACCACTCTCTCCACTCTCCGGACTTTGCCTTCAGAAGTCCTTTTATTCCTCTCCTTCCAAATGCCCCAACCTTATTTCCTTGAAATTTCAGCAACCTTACATAAGATGAACAAGTGGCAAAATGATTCATCTTCCTCTCAACAAATGTAGGACACACTAGCCATGCTGTAACCTCAACTTTTCAAGTGATCCACTATCCATGCAAAAGCCAGCCTCCACTCTCAGAGGTATATGATTACCACACCTCAAATACCTTCAAGAGAAGAGGATTCCATCTGACCTCCAACTAAAGCTGCATAGATAGATTTCTCTCTAAATCTTCCATTTTTCAGTACTTCTACTACAACTCATCCCTTGATGAGTTTGAAATCTTCTTCTTCTCTAGTCTACTCAACAATGGAACACACTCCCCCACCTTACGATCCAACAAAGGTCTTCTAAACTTGGGGTGTTACACCAATTCCGCCCCCCCCCAATAGAATTATATGTTGTCTAGGTGCCATCTTAACAACTATACCGTTGGTACCGCAACAGGTATTATACTTAACTGAAATGTGAAAATCAACACAGAAGAGTATCGATACTTTGAACCCTTCTTGTAGCCGATCAGGAATTCTTTCTTGTTGTTATAGTCAAAATTTAAAAGGTATTCAGTGTCTTTTTTTCTTAGTAAAGGAAAAGGAATTTCATTAAAATTGTTAGAGAATAAAAAGCCTATTCAGGGGCCTCATGTAACAGCTTATGCTTTTAGGTCCAAATGGTTTCGTGAGATGGTATCAGAGCCTGTTGACCAAGTGATCTAGTGTTTGATCCTTGTCATCCTCATTCCTCGTTATATTTATTAAATTTCAGCACAAGGTATGGGTGAGCCTGTGCTTATTGACACTTCAAGCCCAATGAGCTTTCGCGTGAGGCGGTGTGTTAGAGAATAAAAAAGGCCTACTCAGGGACCTCACCTAACAGCTTAAGATGCGAGAAAAATAAAAAGATTACAACCTATAAAGGTGTTAAGGCAACACCTTCAGAACTTATACATTATTTTTCCTTCAACAACAAGGGTACTTACTGTTCTAGTTAAATGCTGTCAGGTATTCGTGATGAAAATGACCATACATATAATCCAAAGATAGTGCGAATTGGTCTAAAGCCACATCATTCTGTTCAAGCAGTATCCATGGATTATCTTGTACGTATATGACAATTATGAACAGAAAAGGGAATACCATATTTCTGATTGAATCCATATAGTGTGATTAATTCCCCTCTGCAGGTGCAACAAAAACTTTCTGGCATGGATCATTCTATAGCTGATACACGAAAACCTGGTGCTAGACCACAAGATCTGGACAATGCCCGTGCTTCCGTTCTTAATGAAGCAGCCATTGTATGTGCATTTTCCATGGAAAGTGATTTACAACATCATTTTAATCGTATTGGTAACTTACGGATATTATGCAGGTTTTCTCAACCCTTAGTTTCAGTGGTTCACATCTTTTCAGTAAATTGAATCATGTTTTTGATGTCGTTATAATAGATGAAGCTGCTCAAGCTGTAAGCTCCTTGACCTATTGTGATTATGTTGTATAAATTTCTTTAATGCTTATTGCTGCTTAGTCGGTTCATGCTTTCCTCATGATTTTGCACTCTGTGACTGCATGCTATATTGAAGCCTTTGGTTGTGTAGGGACCATATTCCACATGATGGACACCTATCTATTTCTTCTTTCTACCTCTTCCATACTTAAATTCCACAGCAATTACAAAAAGGACAATGCCATAATCTCTATTCAGCTGCATTGGGGATGATTTGTATGCTTACCAGTTGTGGGATGCATTATATAGGAGTATACAAATACATTTTCAAATTTTCACAATGACCATGCCATAATCTCTATTCAGTTATATCAGAAGATCGTTTTTCTCAAAAAAAGGATTGTTTTACTCCTGCCCATCTTTAATCTTGCACAAGTAATTATTTCATGTTATATCTAATTATCCCTTGTTAACAGGTGGAACCAGCAACTCTTGTCCCATTAGCTAATGGATGCAAACAAGTATTTCTGGTATACTCTTGTGCTGACTCTTTAATGATTCCTTGTAAATTTATAATTTTTCTATATATAGGAAATCATTTATTTTATAATCTTTCCATAGCTTCTATTCTTTCCTGTTCATGGATACAATTGGTGGTATCAAGTGCAAAATAGAAGAAATTGCAATTGCACAAAGCTGAACAAATTTTGCTACTTTAGATTCTGGCAATGTCAAAATAGCATTATGCCAGGTTAAAAAAACTGATAGTGATAATTGGTCATCAGCATTAGTTGCGAAGCACATAAAATGAAGCTTGCCTGTGTGGACTTGGTAAAAGAAAAAAAATAAAAAAAATCATGGAGTAAATGTTCAAAATAATCAATCTGTTCTTAAAGTTGCTATTTGCCATATCATTTTCATGTATAAAGTATTTGATTCTTTATGTGATATCTCTGTGGCTTCTTTATTGAGAAAATATCTGATTTTTCTCTCATGGATGATTTATCAATTTTAGGTTGGTGATCCAGTTCAATTGCCAGCAACTGTAATATCTCCTACTGCTGAGAGATTCGGGTAATGTAACACTTATCTTGTAATAATATTGTTAATTAATACCTCTTCAATGGTGTGATATGTTTAAAATCTTTCATTGTAGATATGGCATGAGCTTGTTCAAGAGATTCCAGAGGGCTGGTTATCCGGTTCAGATGCTGAAAACCCAATACCGCATGCATCCAGAGGTTAGTCTATAAGAATTGAGTTATTTTTTTATTTATCTTGTTCTTCAAATAGAAAAGATGTTTGCTACCTGGCTCTCTCTCTCTCTCTCTATATTTTTTTTATCAATAGGCTATGCCTCTCTTTCAATGGATCAATTTACTGGAAAGTGGGAAAAAGTCTTGAATATGTGACCTTGCAGAAGAACAGAGTTTGCTAATTTATGATCACCTCTAGTAGTTATCAAGACAAAATTTATATAGTAAATTAATTGTTCAAATCCACCTTTCACACAGATAAGAAGCTTTCCTTCAAGGGAGTTCTACAATGAGGCTTTGGAAGATGGACCTGATGTCAAGGACCAAACTGAACGTTCATGGCATGCTTACCGTTGTTTTGCACCATTTTGCTTCTTTGATATAGAAGAAGGGATTGAATCACAGCCTTCTGGAAGTGGTTCTTGGATAAATGTTGATGAGGTCGAGTTTATTCTCCTCATGTATCATAAATTAGTGACAAGATTTCCAGAGCTGAAGTCTAGCTCTCGATTAGCCATTATATCTCCTTACAGGCATCAAGTGAAGCTGTTCCGTGAACGTTTCCATGATACTTTTGGTGTGGAATCAGATAAATTAGTAGATATAAACACAGTTGACGGATTCCAGGTGATGTAGCTATATTTCATACAGCTCTTTCTGTTAAATTAGGGGTAGTTAATTATTGAATTGATAAAAAATATGTTTTTTTTTTCGTACATAGAATCCATATTAACATGTAATGGCTGGTTCCTATTCCATGGGGATTCTAGAGGTTTCTTAGAGAAGAAGCTAATTCAAATGGATTATTTTAATTATTTCCCAAATTAGTATAAATTGTTTTATGATCGAGTCAGTTTTTGCCCATGGAGATATTTGAAGGAGGTTATCTAAGGGCAAGCTCCACCTTTCATCAAGAACATATACAACTATTTCTTTGGTTGAATATCTGTGTTGCCTAATTCCTGATGCCATTGGTGGAGATGGGGTTATACTAGTTGGTGAGAATCATAGGGTAAAGGAAAACCTTAATATCTCACTTCATGGAAGCTGAGGTCATCAAGTGGGACCCGGGGTCACAAGAGTGGCATGCATGCCAATACAAAGGCAGTTGTGTGGTCACAATTCATTCTCATAGCATAGAGTCTATACAGTGTTTTTTCACATACTAGCATTTGCCATTTAAAATTACCCTTAAGTAATGAAAATGCATGTTCTTTACAGGGCAGGGAAAAAGATGTTGCAATCTTTTCATGTGTAAGGGCAAGCAGTGATAAAGGTATTGGGTTTTTGGCGGACTTCCGGCGAATGAATGTTGGGATTACCAGAGCAAGGTCTTCCGTCTTGGTAGGTCAATTCAAGCTCAGATATTTTCCCGTGAGACTAGATAAAACTGAATTCCTCTTCTGGTTTAGGTACTGAATTTTAGATGTGCTTTTAGGTGGTAGGCTCTGCATCAACACTAAGGCGAGCAGATAAGCATTGGCGGAATCTGGTGGAGAGTGCTGAACAGCGAAATTGTCTCTTTAAGGTGAACTTTTTCTCCTTTATTTCTGAATTGCAATATTCTCCTCTACCAGAAAGTCATAATCTATTAGTTATATTTGCAGGTTTTGAAACCCTACAAATCATTCTTCACTGATGAGAACTTAAAATCCATGGAAGTGAAGCACCAAACCATGCTTGAAGCAATGGAAAACCAACTTGATGAGATTGAAAATACTGGAGTCCTCTTTGGTAATCCTGTTGGTGTTGGTGAGGGTGATCAAGGACAAATGGATGAAGATGACTATGGAGATGGAGATGATGGGGGCTTTGATGAGGACTAGTCCCATATTTCGTCAAACTGCTCTGCGTAAAAGTCCCACCTTAACATGGTGTGGTAGGTCTCAGAAAATACTTGCAGCTTGTGGTTTGGTGGTAATGTCTGTAAAACTGGATCGAAGGTCACAGTGGAAGGCGAAGTCAGGAATAGTTATACCATCAGATCATTCACTAATTATTGACCCAGGATATTGGTCATTTTCTTTTGCCTGGTTCACTGGTCCACTCCAATCCGGTTTTGGAACATTGATTGGTGAGCAGTGGAAGAGGAATGTTGTACCAAAACTTGGCTATATGTATATTGAGATTTACACATTTGTTTATTACTTTATTTAGCATTAACACAACTGATTTATTGAGAACAAAAACCCTGTCTGAACTATGTAGTAGAGCATTGTAAATTTATTATAAAATTCTTTAATGTCAACAACTTTGCTGCATTTGTTTTCAGAAAATAGAACTACCTATCTATTGTCTTAAAGGACCATTTTGAAGCAAACTCGTTCCACTAAATTCATTTAGGCTGTTTCTGATTGCACATAAAATGAAGGATTAGGAATGATTTTCATGGAAAATGATTCACATTTCCAAAATTTGCTACTGTGAAATGGGGTTCAAGTATCTGAAGTTTGAATTGGCTTATATTTTATACCAACACATGTAAGTGACTGCGTCGGTTCGTCCTATAACTTAGATTGGTAGACCCTAAATAGTTGGGGCAACACTTTCATTGCAGATTGTTTAAGCACCTACAAGCATTTGACGATCAAATCCGAAACTTGAAAGGAAGTTCAAAGTTCAAACTCATAAGTTTTCGTGTCTATGGTCTCACAAGGCTGCTCTGGGCTTAGATTTTTTAGTGGCCCATTATAAGCACTGCTCTCAAGTAAGGGTGTCAATGGACCGGTTTTGGATTGGACCTCGTCCAGTCCAAAATCAATTTGGACGAATTGGATGGACCAACAAGACACATTGGACTGGACTAATTCAATCCAAAATATTTATTAGATTAGATTTGACCTGGTCCATCCATAATAAATTTATATTGGATTGGGTTGGATTAAGCCAATATCTGGTCCATTGATATAAGATGAGAATATATGTGTCAATGGACCGGGTTTGGGTTGAAACCGATCTAAATTAAAATGAACTTGAACAGATTGGAAGGTCCATTTATAATGGACTCACATTGGACTGGATCGGATTGCATCAAATCCAGTCCAATTGACACCCCTACTCTCAAGTTCGATTTTGCCATTCTTGTCAGGCAAGAAGACAACTTTTACTAGTGCTACTTTAAATATTATGGTTATATATGTGCATATATAACCATAATCGATATTTGCCAATGCTGATACATAACATCTTTTGAGGATTGCCCCTCTACGATCTCTCTCTCTCTCTCATTAATTTACAACTTTTCAAATTCAAATTTTTGTTTTAATTCTTATTTCATGCATTAACTTTTTAATCACTCCTACATTAAAGACAATCACACACATCTTTTAGTTCATCTATCATTACTAATTGTGCCCCGATATCTCACATTTTATAAAAATTATTTTTATGTTTAAATAACTTATTTATAGTTATCTAAAACTAGTGTATCCATGCATATTTTAATTTTTCCACCATATGTATCTCCAAGACATTTGGCAATACATTTTTTAGAATTGTCTTTACTCTGTGTTTCCCATACTTCAAAACCTTTAGATTTGGAGATTAGATATCTAAGGTTTGATCGGCAAAAATATGTATGCTTAGCTGAGTGGTAAAACTAAAGAGGATATAGTAAAAAAAAATGAAGTCATAGAAAGAAACCTGGGAATAGCTCCAATAGACAGTAAAATGAGAGAAAGTAGACTGAGGCGGTTTGCTTACATGCATGGAAGACCATCTATAGCACTCATTAGAACAAATTCTGTTACAAGTACCATCTCTCATCCCTAACATCTTGCCCAAAACTACATTGAACCACTGAAGGATGCCGACACCACTAAAGACTACCGGCATCTTCTTGCTCCCTTCGAGCATCGCCAACAATGGATGCCAGTGCATTTACTGATCTTTCTCTCTCTCCCTCTTATACCCTTTGAAACTTTTTTCTTTTGTTTCATCTCTAATCTCAGATGCCTTAACATTGAGATTGAATGCTTTGGAAATGTTTCATAAACTGATACCTCCTTCAATAATCAGATTCACCCGTGCTAGAGATATTGTCACTGGCATTGCATCACCGAGCTACAAATCTCATGCTCAATTTTGAAGGAGTATAAATTCAAATATGTAGAGTGCAAAACCTTACATTTTGTATGTATTTGTACTCCTTCCAAACTGAGCCTCATTGTTCGTTTGAAGCTCCTATTTGACAAAGATATGAGAGCAAACCCTTTTGTAGTTCTGTTCTTCAAGGGTTCAGTTGGGCACTATTGCAGTATTTTTGTTTCTTTTTTAATGTGTGGATTGACATGAAACTTGATGAAGGAAGATTTGACCCGACTTTGCGAATCACGGCACGTGGCAAAGAAGGCAAGTAGCTCGGCACTTAAAACAGCGTACCGAGGGTACGCCAAAGGGAAGGGACCGGTAGGTCCGAACTCCCTACTTAGAGCTCGAACTCCCTACAAGGAACCTGAACTCTCTGCAAGGTGCCTGAACTCCCTACTTAGTGGTCGAACTCTCTGCAAGGTGCCCGAACTCCATACTTAGTGGTCGAACTCCCTGTAGGGTGCCCGAACTCTCCCTTTGACCCCGAGTCACACAAAGCAGAGACCCGAACTGGCCCGTCTTATGGCAATTCAGGGCCCCCCCTTATCCGAACTCGAGACTTCGCCTCACGCA